AAGAAAGTTTGACATTTTAAATCCAGTTTTAATGATGAAATATGTCAAAGGATGCGGATCACTTATCTATTTAGCTGCTGTAAACTTGTGCCATAGTCATAACACAGTCTGGAGACAAAATCACAAAAAAAAAGAAAACCTTTGTGTTACACTTAAGTCATTAATGTGGTGAAAGGCAATCAGAAAACAAAAGCAGCCTAATTCATTGAAATTACTTTAGGAATGCATGAGAAGATGTGAACATGGGGATAAAAGGACCAAACCAGCAATTATTCCACTGACAACGGACTGTTTATGAAACCCAGTTCATTTTTGATCCGCTTTCTCTTCAGCCTGCTGACAGATATTCATTATGTAAACCAATACAAACATAAACCTGATGATACCTCCACACATGAAATATGGAAATACATTTCATATGAAAATATTTTTATATTGCATCACATTCATCAAACTTGGTGTAACCTAAACTAAGACAGTGACTCCGAGGTCGATGACAGGACCCTGTGTAGCAACTCACCTGGCCAAGTGATGACAACACGCTTCACTTCTGACCAAAAATTACTTTGCAGCATCGTAAAGGCACCACATTTATGTTTATTTCTAATATGAAATATTATAAAACAATAAAAAATGTACTTTTATTTTTTAAAAGTATGTAACCTTTAACAAAAAAAACTCTCTATATATTTATATATATTTGTTGGCAACAAAGACCACAATGAATATAAAGATAGAAACTTGACTACTACAGCTGCTATATAGTCAGACAAATTAATTGATGAACCATCCACATGATAAGCTTATTTTATGTCATATGTTTTGAACACTATTGATTAAAAAGAACAGTGTTAATCTATAAAATAACCTTGTGATTTATTGTAGCATCCTGGCTTTGGTGAATGTCCCCCTATGTAAATATTCTTTAAACAACTGAATACATTTTGTAAGTCAAACCAATATTTTTCACTGTTTGTTTCAAGTATGCTGCACTAAAATTTCATCTTGAAGATAGATGTTGCATCTAGCATGGTATCATCACAATCCATCTTCTCTCAAAGGTCTCTAAAGTATACACTTTCACCTAACTCAGCAAGAACTTTGTGAGCATTCTTTTGGTGTCAGTACACTAACTTTACAGTAGGTCCATTAAAGGATTATCATTTTGACAGAACTGACAAAACCCTGCTCTGTCTGCCATTGGCTGTATGATAATATTCACAAACAGAGTTGTAAGGAGGTGTAGGTGGAGGTGTAGGTGGAGCAGACAGTGAAGCACACGGCACAGCCCTGGTTTATGAGACACCTTATCAGATTCCTTGCCCTCTGTACTTAAAGTACAGTAGGCGTCACCTGACAGGAGTGGGATCTGAGGTGAAGCTGAAGGATTAAGCACCCCCTGCTCGGCCATCCTGATAGACCTCAATACATTATTACTAAAGAGAGAGACAGAGACAGAGACACAAAAACTACAAAACATAGGAAGTGTATTTGTGGCAGAATTTGAGTGGCACCCATTTTCAGCGCTGCTTCTTAGCCTATGTGTGTGAATTATTGAATGCGACAGGCACCGTGCAATTTAATAGGCCAAGTGCTACAAGTCTTTTTTTATTGCTTCTTTCTTTATGAGCTCACCCAAGTGCAACAAACACCTACATACGGACTCAGTACGTGTTGTTGATTCTACAAAAAAATTACCATACGATGATGTCATGCTCTTTTTCCATGTTAGGAGGACCGACTAGCTCCATTACCACAGGAGAAAATATAACGTGACAAATGGAAGCAAGCTGGCTGCACATTAAGATAAAAAGAACAGTCTTTGCCAGCAATGAAATTAGAAGAGTGAGTAAAAAAGATAGAGTTGGGCTCAGTGTGTCGGCTCTGATGTGACACTGGACGCTGCAGCCCATGTGAAGCCCTCAGTGTCATTATGACTGATGTCAAACAGTGGGCTAAATTAGTTAGCAGCACATCAGGTTCCACTGTTTGATAATGACAGGGAGTGCTGACAAACACAAAGGTGTGAGTGCCATGTTATAATAGCATTAAAAAGATGGAGTATTTTCCTCAAACTGTCAGAGAAGCATGTTTCTGATTATGAATAGTGTCAGATTTTGTAGCCTACACGTATTGCTTAAGAAACATGGTAATATCAGCAGTCATCAGCTTGTCTCAGGCATCAGCTTGCTGTTGTCTAGAATATTAAACTTCACTTTATCTGATTTGTCAGAGGAGGATGGAAAATGAACAAAAAAAAAGAAATTAGCTAAAGGTTGAGAAATGTGACGAGTGAGAGTCCTGCATTATAATTACTACTGCTGGAAACAGATCTTGAGTTTATTTAAACATTCAAAACCTGGTAATCCCAGTACAAAACACTTATTTCCACAACTATACACAGATTATTTAATACTGACACTGAGAGAGGAGCACATATTGAACATATGAGGAAATATAAAGAACAGAGCACAGGATAACACATAGACTATGATTAGAGTCACATTTTCAGGCAACCACCCAAAATCCTCTGAACACAAATTCTTTGCCGTTCATGTAACTCATCAGAAGTGAATCAAGTCTTGCTCTTGAACATGTGTACTACCTCAAAAAGAATACTGTTTTCATTAATGTGGAAAGAAAAAACTAGAAAAAAGTACAAAATCATTGGTCGTGTCTGCTACAGTATTTCTCTGCTGCTAGCCAAGAAAAGAAGTCCGACAAAATGTCAATACCTGCGGCAGGAAGCCTTTGTCCAACTTGGTGTGATTAACTGTGACACTCAATGCTAGCTACCATCTGCTCAACAGTCGTGATACATAATGTGCCTATTGTACTGGACTTCTGATGCTTTGCAATGTGTGATGGGTGTGCACATACAAACAGCAAACTACAGTCTTTCTCTTACTTTACATGAGTCTTTTCTCTCCAGTTTGTCTGTGAGTGTCTGAGACTGATCAAAACATCTGGTGTGAGATTTAACGAACAACATCTCGTATCATCTATAAACATTATGTGTTTTTGTGTATATATTTTTAAAGATTTCTGTGTTTTTGTGTCCTGAAGACCCACACTGTTCAGTCTTTACTCTGCTCTCTATAGTGGTGGAAGGATGAAGAGTAGAATATCCAGAGCACTGTTGCAGATTCCCAGAGTCAAACACTCTTCTGACCTTTGCAACAACCAAGCATTGCAGCAGAAAAGGTCATACTTTGTGCATTTGTTTCCACTTGGTCTTGGTCAGTCTTATGACTGATCATTGAAAACATAGTAAGGTAATACAATATAAACTTGATTGTGACAAATATGAGCACAGTGATTTACATAAAAGTATTGTGCCATACACAACAGAGACACAATGTGTCACCAGTTCATGCTGATGCTTTGGAAGGGTAAGGATGAGAAGTTGGAGAAGGTCACATCAGATGAGGCTGTAACATTCAGTAAATAGATTCTGCTGATAAAATGGTGACGCACAAAGACAAAACAAACATGGGGTCAAAGCCACAAATGGACCCAACGCTCTCATATTTCTTTTTAAATTCTTTTCCTCTTTGTTTGTTGTTAGCTGATTGTTTTGCCATTTCTGTCATAGTGTTACCATTGTACCATACCCCCAACAGCTGGACCAACAGGATAGTGGTTACCTTGACCATGAATATCCCATTTTTTGTTCTTGTTCCCTTTCTGTTGAGAGACCGAGTGTGTGAGAAAAATGCCCCCTCAGTTAAAAACTGCAATGAAAGATTTAATGCCATAATGACAGACAGAAACCTTCTTACTTTTCCATTCACCTCGGTCTGAACTTTGCCTCACGAGTTGAGGATGGGATGGATTGCAGTGGAATGAGGATTGGACTTGGCTGCTTTGACACAAGATAAAGGCCATATGTGGTGATCACAGACATAGGAGCCTGGGGGATAACAAAGAATGACAGCCACCTTGTTCTAATGGTTCTATGGTATCACTCTTACTGTGTCTCACCCTGATGACATCACCACTCCAGGCAGTCACAGCAGGTTGTTTGGGATATCCATCTAATCATTGCTGCTGCAGCATAAATGAGTGTGAGCCAGTACTGATGGCAATCAAAGAAACAACATGCTGATGTTAAACAGGTGTAAGATTTACCATGTTCACCATCTTAGTTTAGCATGTTAACATGCTACCATATGCTGATCTGCACTAAACATGTGCTGAGACTGATTAACCAAAGTACTGGACAAATAAAAAGCTGGACCTGGTGATGTCAGCAGACCAAAGGGATTGCAACGGATCCTGTAGAGGACATGAATATGTGTACCTAATTTTGTTTGTGTCTACTGAAAAATGACAAACTCATGGTGGCACTAGAGGGAAAATCCAGAGATCACCAACATCAGTAGGATTCATCCTCTGGGGAACATGTGCATACCAAATTCCATGGCAGTCCATCTAAACGCATTTTAGCTAAAATGCTAGCCTGCTACCAAATTTTGTACCAATCCAGCCAGTAGACATTGACCTATTTCACAGTATAATTGAAAACTTTGACCAGTTGTTGGTGCTGGAGGAAAAGTCAAAGAAGCAACCAAGAAGTTCGGATTGTTCCTCTGGGCACCGCGAATGCCAGGATTTCATGTTAAGCAATTGTTGAGCCATTTCACCTTGGGTCAAAGTGGGAGATCAGTAAATAACAGAATGATCAACTGCCCAATAAACCAATATACTGTACCTAGAGGCTGCTGGCATGGTTTAAAGCACTGAACCAAATTTCAATGAGATATTTTGTTTTGTTCACTGGAGATGTTAGGTACCGTTCGCACCAGTCAGTGAGCGAACGAGAAAGAGGCGGACCCAGGTAGCCGACTTCGGTACAAGCAGTGATTTATTATATAAAGTGATGAAGGGAGTAACAATACAGAGGGAAATAGTACGTAGTCCTGTTGACGAGTAGTAGCCGGGTGTTTGACCAACCGCAGGAGGCGAGGAGATGGAGAGCTGGGCCGAGCTGCGTAGGCTGGGTCACTCCTGGGCTGGTCGGTGGTGATGGTGGCTACTGAAGGTGGAGACAGAGAGATGAAGGCAATAGTAGAACAGATAGGCAACTGAGCATTGACCTGCCTGGGAGGAGAGAGTGGAGCCACGGTCCGGAGGAACAGTCCATGGGGGGAACACAAAACAGTAGCTGGCTAGGGGATAAATACAGTGCCTTGCGAAAGTATTCGGCCCCCTTGAACTTTGCGACCTTTTGCCACATTTCAGGCTTCAAACATAAAGATATAAAACTGTAATTTTTTGTGAAGAATCAACAACAAGTGGGACACAATCATGAAGTGGAACGAAATTTATTGGATATGTCAAACTTTTTTAACAAATAAAAAACTGAAAAATTGGGCGTGCAAAATTATTCAGCCCCCTTAAGTTAATACTTTGTAGCGCCACCTTTTGCTGCGATTACAGCTGTAAGTCACTTGGGGTATGTCTCTATCAGTTTTGCACATCGAGAGACGGAAATTTTTGCCCATTCCTCCTTGCAAAACAGCTCGAGCTCAGTGAGGTTGGATAGAGAGCGTTTGTGAACAGCAGTTTTCAGTTCTTTCCACAGATTCTCAATTGGATTCAGGTCTGGACTTTGACTTGGCCATTCTAACACCTGGATATGTTTATTTGTGAACCATTCCATTGTAGATTTTGCTTTATGTTTTGGATCATTGTCTTGTTGGAAGACAAATCTCCGTCCCAGTCTCAGGTCTGTTGCAGACTCCATCAGGTTTCCTTCCAAAATGGTCCTGTATTTGGCTCCATCCATCTTCCCATCAATTTTAACCATCTTCCCTGCCCCTGCTGAAGAAAAGCAGGCCCAAACCATGATGCTGCCACCACCATGTTTGACAGTGGGGATGGTGTGTTCAAGGTGATGAGCTGTGTTGCTTTTACGCCAAACATAACGTTTTGCATTGTTGCCAAAAAGTTCGATTTTGGTTTCATCTGACCAGAGCACCTTCTTCCACATGTTTGGTGTGTCTCCCAGGTGGCTTGTGGCAAACTTTAAACGACACTTTTTATGGATATCTTTAAGAAATGGCTTTCTTCTTGCCACTCTTCCATAAAGGCCAGATTTGTGCAGTATACGACTGATTGTTGTCCTATGGACAGAGTCTCCCACCTCAGCTGTAGATCTCTGCAGTTCATCCAGAGTGATCATGGGCCTCTTGGCTGCATCTCTGATCAGTCTTCTCCTTGTATGAGCTGAAAGTTTAGAGGGACGGCCAGGTCTTGGTAGATTTGCAGTGGTCTGATACTCCTTCCATTTCAATATTATCACTTGCACAGTGCTCCTTGGGATGTTTAAAGCTTGGGAAATCTTTTTGTATCCAAATCCGGCTTTAAACTTCTCCACAACAGTATCTCGGACCTGCCTGGTGTGTTCCTTGTTCTTCATGATGCTCTCTGCGCTTTAAACGGACCTCTGAGACTATCACAGTGCAGGTGCATTTATACGGAGACTTGATTACACACAGGTGGATTCTATTTATCATCATTAGTCATTTAGGTCAACATTGGATCATTCAGAGATCCTCACTGAACTTCTGGAGAGAGTTTGCTGCACTGAAAGTAAAGGGGCTGAATAATTTTGCACGCCCAATTATTCAGTTTTTTATTTGTTAAAAGACTAGAACGAACTGGCAAGTGACTGAGGAGTGAAACCGGGTAATATAGTGAGCAACCTAATCAAGTGCCGCTGGTGATAAGGGAGTGAGGAACAGGTGAACGTGATTAGTGTAAATGGGCAAGAGACAGTAGGAAAGGTGAGGGAGGCCAGAGTGGCCGAGCAAACCTGACAGGGGATAGGTTTTGAGGAATTAAGGATTTAACTTTTCGTTCCATTCTCCAGAGGGTGTAGCAAAGCGAAACCCCTTGTTCAATAGACTTGTGTTTAGCTCTTGAGCGTTAACTTTTTTTCTTAATCCTTTAATGTTTGTCTCTGCAAGGAAAACCATTGGAGGTTGAGCCTCAGTGCTATTTTTTGTAACCAGACCTAAAAACCTGAGATTATTGCTTTATAGGCTTACTGGCTTCAGAGAGTAAGCGTTCCATACATATGCACTGCAAATGTAAGCTCCACTTGTCAAGTCACCAGGGCAGAATGAAGGTATAACCTTAGAGTCTAAGCCTGTAGCTAAACATCTACTGACACTCGCTATTACCGTAAAGCTCACTGCTCTTTGTAGTAATTGATGGCAACAAATATGAGCATTTCCCCATTTTTTCAGCTGAAAACCTCTCTCATAACTGGTGAGATACAATATGTCTTTATTGAAAGGACAGAAAAAGAGGTAAGAGCTGTGATCCTCTATGTTCCCACATCATACATTCAGCTGTGCATTACATGTGGAAGGCAGCATCAGTCAGACTGATGTTGAATTAGACTTTTACACATAAAACAATAACCAGGTTCCCATGAATGTCGCTGCCTTCAGGCCTCTCACAGCTGACATGACCTGTTGACTGTCACCAGCAAAGCAATTTTTGCTAAACTGAGTTTGCACTGAATATACTGTAGTATGAGGGACAGGCTGCACAGATCAGCCTGGGCCTTTGAGAATTTGCAAATTACTGTTTTCTCAGTAACTTTTCATTCCAGTAAGGCTGATTTGAGATTACAGCACTCAGTTACCAACTCATAAATAATAAACTAACTCTGCTGCATATTCACACAAGGCTGGCTGTAAGAAAGCATGAGAATGTTAAATGTGGAGCTGGGTTATAAACATACTTCCTTGAAAAGCAGATGCATACAGTTTGGTATCAGACATATAATGTCCACACAAAACTGACCATTGGTTAAATTCCATCACACTAGTTTCAGTTGTTATCCTTGCACAGGGTCTTGCAATAATACTGTAGTTAACAGTGATAGAGTAGTGGTAGGTCCCTCACTTGAAATTCCTGTAATTTCTTTGAAAAAAAAAAAACAATGATCTCTAATTTTACACAACTCACAGGTGAAATCTTTTTATTTCTAGTTAACCACTGCTGAGCTTTTTCTAACTGAAATGATAACAACTCTAACTAGAAGGTTTTGTCAGTAGTTAGTTCATGTTGGCACTGTGAAGTTAACTCATTTTAAAATAATGATGCAGGTCTCTGAAATGTTGAATAGCTGGTCAGAGAAGAGGGCGTAGCACACACTGATCACCCACAGAAGAGTAGATGCAACTCCTCCCCTCCCGATTTCCTTTGCGTAGCTGTTGATAGAAGTGATGTGTAGCTTTAATTTTGCAAACTCACAGTTGCCTGGGGGTTGTGATTATCTCCCACTTAGTTTCCCTTGGACACAGTAACTGGCGCCCAGATTTTGGGGCAACACTAAAGTAAGACAAGCACTCCCAGAAATATTTGCACATGGTTTGTGTCTGGACCAGTTTGGATTATTCAAGAGGTTTGTTATCCTGGGTCTCCTCGGTGCATTCGCTCACATCACCCCTCTGCCCCCACACAGAAGGCCAGAATTTCTCTAGCCCCCTCGGTATCACTGAGCGCTTATAGAAAAAACATACATCAAACACAGACATCTGTAAACAAGTAAGTGTGTGCAGGCAGATGGAGATACACAGTAAATGTGTCCACTGTACTGCTCATGCATGTGTATCACACACAAATAAAAGCATGGACATGCGCACTCAAGCACATGCACTGTCACAGAGATTTGGGTATGTAAGGCTAAAGAGGAATGTTGAGGTCCAGCCATAATTCATACAGCTGTCTCCCTGAATCTGAGATTTTAATGGAATGTACATAACAATGACTTGACATTTGACCCAGGGCCTTTCAACGCTGTGTGTCCTCACTCTGTTCCTTCTGGCCTGATGATGAAGAAACATTCCTTCTTCCCATGATCACTCTTGGATTTCACTTTTGTTTTCTCAAAAACATAACAGCAGAGGGTGTGTGTGATAGAGCCGTGGTACATAAAACAAATAAAGGTAAAAGAACAGTGCAGACAGTTACATACAGTTACAGTGGGCGGATGAAAATGTTGTAGAATCTTATACTCAGATTGGTTCAGCTATTTCTGGGCTTAAGTGATGGAAAATGACTATTAATGTGAGTCAATCACAGCAATAAAGCCTCTGGATATAAATACGTCTTTAACATGTTAAAATTATGACCCTTACTGATGAGCTCATTAAATGACGCAGTGAATTTCACCAATTTAGTGCACTTTAACGTATACAGCTACACCTTACATGTTATAGGAATAGTTCGGATTTTTCAAGTTGTTAAAACAATACTGATGCATTCCTATGTACGTGAGAATAGATCTTGGTTGTTGTCACTTCTCCTGCTCTCCAAACTGACCCTGAATGTTTTCTGTCGCAGCACAGTAAAGTACTGTCCAGGGAAACAAAAGAGGAAAATTTGTTTTAAACGACTACTTTGAAATATATCAACTTGAACTAGCTTAGTGGGACAGGTGAAGCTGTACTTGAGCCTCAGACAAACTATAAAGTGCATGCTTTTACAGAACGAGAGTCGTGTAGTGCGTCCCTCATTTTGTGCAGTGTAGTGATGTTCCAGGTGGAAACATTCATGGTCAGTGGGGAGAGTAGGAGCAGTGACAACAATTAAACCTATTCTCATGTACATAGGGACACAACAATATTGTTTTAGCATCAACTTAAAAAACTCCCAAACTATTCCTTTAGGTCATGTCACTGTTGGGGCTGAAGACTACAAGCTTGATAATGAAAAACAAGTGGGGGTGTGGTGTTACCAAACCTCTGCACAGTAGCTTACTCCTCCTCCTCTGTAATAGGCTGGTGCCGTGTAGCACACCTCTCAGGCAAAGTTAATCAGCTCTAGTCCCCTCAGGGCCCTGAGGAATAAACAGATATAGCTAATAGATGAATGTATGGATGTGCACTATCTAGTTTGGCTGCACCCATTTGAATACTTTTAAAAATCCTTCACTGTACATTTAATCATCCATCCATGCATCCATCCATTATCATCTGCTTATCAGGGGTCGGGTCGCGATGGCAAAAGGTTCAGCAAGGTAGTCCAGACGTCCCTCTCCCCGGTGACGCGTTCCAGCTCCTCTGGATTCCGATGTGTTCCAAGGCCAGATGAGATATATAATCTCATCAGCATGTTCTGGGTCTGCCCCGGGGTCTCCTACCAGCTGAAGACCTCCAAAGGGTGGCGCCCTGGAGGCATCCTGATAAGATGCCTGAACCACCTCAACTGGCTCCTTTCAATCTAATCATGTTATAGAAATCCAGTCTGAATTGGAATGTTCTCTTATGATTTCAGTTGCGGTTCATTTGATTACGCCTGTGTAAATAAAGACACATCAATACAATTGATCACTGGGAGCAGGAAACACACTTTGAGTGGCTATTACGTCAGATATTGAAAATAACACAATGAAACAGCAATGAAACTGCCTGAATAATGAAAATATTCTCTTATTCATAAATTACTGTAGTTATACATCTACCTACTGTATGCAAAATGACAAAGGTGCTAAGTTATGTGACTCTTGTCTTCTTTGTAAGAGAGCACCTGTCATTAAACAGTAGTATAGGGAGAGGAGTTATGGTACAGGAGCAGATAAATGAAACACACATTTAGATGAGTGTTTTGTTTCAACACACAGGCAAGAAGGCAGGTCAGCCACATGAGCCTGTAGCCAGAAAGCCTGTAAACTGATCCTCACAGCACATCCTCTGTGCTGGGGTCCCTTTTCTGCCAGGATCACACACGCACTTGTCCGTGCACATACTCACATTCCTCTGCAGGCTATGCAAGGAGCAGGCGCAGACTCAGAGCCTAGATCTGTTCTTCAGAGTGAGCGTCTCTCTCACTCTCTCCAGTCGTTAAGTCAGAGAGCAGAGGAGGAAGGGAAGGCAGAGAGACCAAGGGAGGTCTGACGACACCTACCCGGCACTTATTTTAAATGCACAGATTGATGAATGCAGGCACACCGTCTGCACCTGGCTTTGATTTACTGGAGGAACATCAAGATTTATAACCAAAGTGTCAATCTGCAAGAGATGTGTGCAACTTTCCGTGCCAGGACACAAACTTGAAAGAGTTTTGGAAACAAATGAGAGAGTCTGCTTTCAATGCCGGAGGTCCAGCGCTAGGATGGATGACACATGTTTCTTCTTTGTTTTCTGATCCAGCTTTAAAGGAAACATCTAGACAAACAAAAAAGGAGCAGCTCAAAATACAAGAACTTTCTTCACCTGCAACCTGTTTCTCAGGCTGAAATGATGCTGTGGTACAACTTCGGCCGCCACTTGCTGTCGCTGATGGTACTTCTGGTGATTGTGAGCTGTGGAGGAGGGGAGCAAAGGAGAGGGATGGATAGCAGCACCAGTAGCGCAGGTGGCAGCAGTAGTAGCGGAGGAAGTAGTAGTAGTAACTACAGCAACAGACGTTTTCATAAGATCCAGCATGGTGAGTGCACCTATACCGTCATCCTACCTGAGGGAGAAGGAGGCTCTTGTAGGGAGGCGAAAGCCGGTAGACCACAGTACAACGCCAACTCTCTCCAGAGGGATGCTCCACCATCTGAGCCAGACTTTCCCAGCCAGAAGATTCAGCAGCTTGAACACATTATGGAGAATTATACACAGTGGCTACAGAAGGTAAGGAAGAGCTCAGGTGGTATATAGTTTCATACAAACCTTACAATGTTCAGCATCTCTCTTTCTAATAGGCTAGAGCAGTTCAATTTTCCTGTTTTAATTAGATTCATCTTAAAAATGTTGGTCAGTGAGTCTCACCTATAACATCGCTGCATTAGACTGTATCCACTTTTCAGAGTGGTTCAACTGTAGGAGACTTTATTGAGCTATTTGTGCTCCCTCTGGTGTGTGGTCTTGCAAAGTGTCTGTTTGTGGCTTCACTAGAAAACTTTGGTTTCTGGATGAGGCTCTCAGAAGAAACCACACAGCAGCCGCTGTTTTCATTGTTGGCGTTTGTCAGATGCAGAGTGTGTGTGCTTCAGCAGCTGACCATTAACTGCATTTCTTTGTCATGCTGTGTGAGGAGTTTCAAAATAAAATATCAAGGAGATAACATTTTACACAGAAAATGCAGTGATGTTGAAGAACAGCCCCTTTAGCAGTTGAGAAAAGTTCACCAACCTTGTAAAATAAATAAATAAACGTACATGGTGGTTACGGTGACAGCTGACAACAGTTTTAGTTGTTCCATACAGCATAAGCTGACAATTTAGAGAAAAAAAAAGGCAGCAACAAAACACACATTTGATAAACTAGAAACAAGAATTGCCAACACAATTTATACGACTCTGCTATGTTTTAACGTAACTGTTTGTTGTTGTGTTCTTTTTATGCCACATAGCTGTCTGATTTTCCTCCGTCCAGACATCTTGAACATCGTGTCTCTGCAGCTCTGTATCCATCCGGTGATCTGTTTTTTCTGAGTAAAGTAAATTCCACACACGTCCAGTTGAGTTGCACAGATCGTTGGTCATAGAGCGGTGGTAGTTATATGTCAGTCACCTCCTGTTCTCCAGCGGGCTGTCTCTTTAATGGCAGGAAGTCAGAGAGAGCCCCCAGAGACACTCAGAGGAGGAAAAGACAGAGAAAGAGAATGCTGCCTTTATTTATCCAAGTCAAGGACGTGCGAGTATAACTTGAAGATCTAGGCTCACATCAATGAAAAGAACCTATAGCCAGCTTAGTTTCTCTACAGAATAAAAACAAACACAATCTTCATTATATTTGGGCTAGTAAGACATTATTTAATTTCTGTTGAACAACAAAATTAGGGTTTATTTATAGGGCTATCTCTGTGTTTACTATGCTCAAATATGTATCTACTGTAATGTTAATGAGTTGCGAATTGTGAGGCCATTGCTGATATGGCTTGGCAGCCACTCTGCTTTCCTAGGCTTTGAGACTTGGTGTCTCCACACAGTGCGAGACTATCTCTCTGAAATAAATACATGAATCAAATAAACAAACATCCAAATTTGGTGTAACCGCCTGCTCCTCTTCAATATTGTCAGTCGCAAATAAGATTAGCAGGTCCGATCTGTGATTAATTGCTTAAAGCTGGTGGTTTATTTTTGTCTATGGCACAACTTGGCGTGACAAGAAGCAAATGCACACACAGATAACACCTGATGGAGTTGATGGATTACAGTGAAACTAGGGGAATTAATCAGCCTGAGCTTCATCAGTGCCCACTTGCACTCACTGTGTTCTCCCCAAACTGTCTGAGCTAATCTGCTGTGAGCCTGTTTTTCATTTACCCCACAAAGTAAACTCTCCAATCCCCTGGTTTAAGGAAATAATTACTGCTCATCAATTAACCACATGCTGGTCACAGTGTGTTACAGTGAGATGAAGACTGAGTTTGTGACTAGGAAGGATTGCTGTTGGAAACTACATGACCCTGGTGCAAATTCACACACAGCACAGATACAAAAATGACCAAATCTAAATAAAATATTGTACAAGAGAAATTTCTAAATCACAACATAACATCTGTGTAATATCAGTGTATCAATGGACTGTACATTGCTGATCATACCTCGGGTCAGAAGAGGGATTTACTGTATACGGTGTTTTTCAAGATTTAACACATAGGCAGAAGAAGGTGCTTAGGCTGGTATAAAGGTACTGGATAGCTGATAATCTTTCAGGTAGAGGTAGAAAAGCCCTTTCGGTATGGTGTACAGCAAATTGTGTGGATGCATCTGTATATGACAGAGGTACTTTTTCCTTTTTTCCCTGTTTGAGTCATGAGTCTGAGAACCTGTGTGTGTTTCTGTATGACTCCCAAAAGTGATCTCTGTGTCACAAAAGGCCAGGGGTGAAATAACACTGGCTTTATCTTTGTTCAGTGGACCTCATCCATCTGTGATAGTACAAGTGATACTATGAAAACACAGCAGCAGCGTTGGTAGGCTGAAGGCTTGACTAATGAGACCTCTAGGATAACTTTCTCTTCAGATGTAAAAATGAGAGTATGTGAAAACATCTACCCGCAACAGTGCTGACATACTTCACAAGAAAATCCAATATCAATAAAGTTATGTTATGTAATAGTGGATTATATTTAAAAATGTGTAATGAGGATTACTTTCCCAAGTCTCTTGATGCATATCACTGAAAACATGTTTGGCTATATAAAAACACAAGCAGACAGATTAGCACAAGAAAGGAATTGACACAGACATTTCAGAGGGGACACTTTAACACACAGTGGCAATTCAGCCTAATTACCTTGCATGGGGGGGCAGGGGGTGGGGGTGGGGACATCAGGATGCAGTTAACATTTTTCATTGGACAGAAGATTAAGTGTCCTGGCCAGTCTATCTATCTTAATCACGCCAGCGTTTTTAGTGCTTGTCTAAAAGAAAGCTCGCCCTGACAAAAGAGACAGAAGGAGGAGACCAGCACAGATAGCACCCCCGTGTCTGGGTGCTCGGTCCAGTGTGGGGGGTAGACAGAGGGAGTGATGCAGCAAACAGCTGGTGGGGAAGCATTTCTACTCTGAGATCTTTCCTTCCTCGACCCAGGGTAGAGTATATGGACCCTGATAACATTCTTGACCAGTCAAAGGTGGCTTGTGTTTGTCCACAGATTACTTGCTTGGTCTGCCTACAAGGCTAGGAGCATGCATGTGCTTTAGGAACCTCAGACAAACTTGGCTTTGATCTTAAAGAGAAAATGCAACAGGAAACAGGCCAGTAAGTTTTTATTGTCTAGCACCTTTCTGAACAGGACTCACTGCTTTGGAAAAGTGACACTGAAAACAGGAAAAAAGCAGCAGAAAATAAACAAAAAAAGGACAATAAATCAGCAAAAATAAAATTATTCCATAGAAATATGAGAAATTACTGACTGATTTTGGGCTGACATAGATAAAGCTGTCAATCAGTATCAATAATAAAAGGTGGTGTTAGATGGTACTGAGAAAGCGCTTTCGTCATCACAGTGTCAAACTTCTGCCAGAGATGTAGGTACTCCCACAGTGTCATAATATTACTGCTAAAATGAACATTTACCTCAGACTCATTTAGCAAAGTCGACGTTTCATGTTGCCCTCTGTTCCCTGACCATTTTTGGCTTCGCAGTGTCACCCCTCCTTTTCTTTTGAGGTTTTACGGTGCATAGAAATGCCAACAGTGTGGCCAAAGCTTGCTTATTGTTTCCAGAAAGCACGTGGAAGCAAGTGAAGTGATGAATAGGTATTTAAGATAAAGAAACGACTGCGCAAAGTCAAAAGTAGGTGAAATGCACACTTCACAACATGTTCTGAAAATATCCTTTCTACTTCTTTACTATTTGAAGGACAACGAGTATTTGGCACATGTAGAAGTTTAGTTTGTGCTCTCAGCAGTGAAAGTAATAGATCTTCCCATTTCTCTCTTGGTGGAGACAGTAGAAAGAGGTTGAGATCAGTGTTTCTTTAGCAGGCCATCCTCTGCCAAGCTAAGCTGCTTTACAAAGTAGGGGGAGAGTCTTATCCCTGTGAAATTCCCATCATTCTACCTATCCACTGACATGACTGAGCTGTATATACCAACATGTGGGCAGCAGCGTGTTACCCTACCATACTGAGAGATCACATGAGAAAAGGTGAATATGCATCTCTGCTTACCGTAATGCTGTCAGGGGGCCAACGGCATGCCTGGGGTTCCAAGAAGAAACCTATTTTAGAGGTGACTTCCTCTATGAGAGTTTATTTTCACTGGTAATGTGGGCCAAAACTAACAATCAGATGGAGTGCTCAGAGGAATAAAAACCTCTCCCATCCTTACCCCAGAACTTGTTAAAAGGAAACCATGGCACCATAATGAGTTGCACTTCCACTGTGACCGAAAGCAAAAGGGAAACAGAGCTTTCTGCTTTGCATGTCATGGGAATAGGTAAAAGACATTAGAGTCGTGTCACAGTGTTTCCACATGGACATGAAAATGGAACCTAATGTTTCTGACTTTTTTTTTTAGAAATCATATTTCACACACTGGAAGTTTTGATATTGGGGAGACAGCTATGGTTCACTTCTATCTCTTTAAAGCTCATTAAATGACGCAGTGAATTTTACAGTAATCGTTTGTGTGCCTTGAATCTGTCTAGTTTGCCTTACTGCAGCCATAAAGTAAGTATGTAGTTCCTTTGCCATCACTCATTTTAGTGAATTACTCTCTGGTGAGTACTTTATAGAGAATTTATTTTGTTTTAATTACAGGGTTATACATTTGGCTAAATGCACGCAGGATTTATGGAGTCCCCTCTGAAAACACTGGTGCTAGCTTGTAGCTTGGCATCCACCGATGATATGTGGAATAAATTTAGAGTTTCCTATGATATGTTTGTGTTTCCATGCACCCTTGAGTATATCACTCCAGCAGTGGCACTAATTTTTCTTCATTTGTTCGCTGGAGGTATTATAAATGTAGTCTGCAGCGTGTTACTCAGGTATGAAAGTGACCTGGATTTATTCATTTTTCTAGGCCACCCGGGGGTCACGAAACAAGCTTTAAACGCAAAAGTGACATTACTATCTGCCTTAAACAGACGCAGAGCAACATTAGCGTCATATGGACTCTTGACTCTGGCTACTTGACAATATTTGTTCTTCTTTTAGCTCTGATCTGGTCTCC